CTTTATTCCTACTAAAAACAGTGAATGGAATTTGTAAAAGTTTGTTAAAATTAAAATTAAAATTAAAATTAAATTTTGTTTAAATACACTTCTGAGATTTTTACATTTCAGAACTGCAAAGGACTTTGGGATACCAAAGAGCTAGGGCTGGCCTGTAGTGTTCTAGTTGCCCTCTATTACTCCTTGTACAGTAGTTAGAGATTTATAGTGTAATGAATGCTGCTTGTTTCCAGTGTAGTTTGAGGCAAGGCTCCTGGCAAGCAAGACCACATTTATAGGAAGGAGAATAACAGGAGAGATATGTGGGCTTCTGGCCAGGTGCTTTTCTGGTCAACAACCAAGACATGTACCTGGAACTAGGTGAGAGATTAGCTGCTTGTATATAAGCACAAGACCTCTGCTAATTTAGGACTATGCATCACTCTCTCCATATAGCCCTACAGATTCTTTTTGGAAAAAGAATGAAATATTTCTTAAGTCTGTCTTTTGGATGAGAGAAGCAAAAACATGATCTGCAAAACTAATATACTATTTGTGCAACATGGAGTAGGCACTGATAAGCCTTACACAATCAGGCCTACTCCATGCAGAAGAATGTGTACCATTAAGTTGAATTATAGGAATTTATTTCTTCAATAAAAGCAGATAAAATAACTGCTATTTAAATAAAGTAATTTTTGTAAACTGTAAACTTTATATTATGCTAAATTCTAAAGTCTCTGTTTTCAATTTTGTCTTGCTACAGAAGTTCCTTCTAAACAATGTTTCTGTAGCTAGAACGGCTTATGATCTAAATAAGAGCTAACATATTTTCATAAACTGCTTTGCTTTCCATACAGACTGGGTGTGTGCCTATGCAGCAATTTATTTTCCAAGTAACAATCTATAGTCAAGGGTAAAATTTTTAGGCTGTATTTTCAGTGGTAGAAAATTTTTAAAAAGTAAAATTAGATTTTATGGTTCAGATTGGTTAAATTTTAACATTGAAATATTAGAAAATTTAGATAAAAGTCATATGACTAGGTAGTTATTAAACTGAAAAAAGAGACAATTTTCAGTAAGTTCAAGTCATGTCTATTAACAGTAGCAAGATACTATATTAAAAGGCAGTATTTATTTAGCTTGCATAAGGAGGCAGTTTATTAATAAAAGCCCTAAAGGTATAATCTGACCATGTAACAGAGGTTTTGGAGTCAGGCTGATTTGAGTTCAAATTATGGGTCAAACCCTCAATGGTTGGTTGTTCTGGGGCAAGTTTTTTCCTAAGTCTTGGCTCCCTTACATATAACATGATAATAAAAACCACTTACAAGACTGTTTAAAGGACCAAATTAGGTAATTTATGTAAACTGCTTAGCACAGTAAATGATTCACAGTAAGTGATTAATAAATGCCCTATACACCGTACACACACAGTTTCCCTAGGACACAACTATATTTATAAGCATTTCACCTTGATTCATTCTAGTAATTTGTACCTGATACAGTAAGAAATTTTAAACAGTGTATTATTTCAAATATCATTTAGAAGTATAATTAAGAAAATTAAAAGATTTACAAAATCATCATATGCACAACTGCATACTAAGAACACAAAAACAGGATCCCAGAATCCTATGAGACTCCTCCCCTCAGTAGGAATTCAGTCTATGGTATTCCTGACAGTCATCGACTTTTAAAAGAACCAGTTCAAGCTCTTTATAACTCAGATGAGAGATGAGGCGAGAAAGAATTAGAGAAAGAGACAGAGAAAGAGAGATTGAGAAAGAGACTGAGATTGAGTCTTGATGATACAGTTTGAACCCCGGGATCAATCCATAAAATCCATTCCTTGCTCTCTTCCCTCTCTTAGGCTATGCCTAACTGATTGAGCTGGGTTTCTAAAGCTTACAACCAAAACCAGTCTTTATTAATACACTAATTATGGGTGAGAATGTAGCAATTAGACAGAAGGGAGGTTTTATTTCCACCATACCCATTAGAATCTTTAGTAAGTGGTGGATTTAGCATTCATAGTCAGGATATTGATTCCAGAGCTTGTGCCCTTAATCACAATGTTGCAGTAAACGGCAGCAGTATTACATATATCCTCCTGAGATGTAACAATAGAATTCTTTTCTGAATTAAGACAAGGTTGCCCACAACTGTATGCATCTGTCTTTTAACCATACATTTGACACTTGGTAAAGAAAATGGAATAGCAATAGAGACTACAATGATGGTATTGTAGTACCATCAGTATAATGGTATTTTCCTATTCTTAATGCTTTAGATAAGAAGCTAATTAAGAAATTCTTTCTCTTCCCAAAAAGATCTCTTCTATTTTCATGGGAATAGGTGTACAATTCAAAACCTATTTCCTCAATTATACAGAAAGACTACAGCCTTATATTTGTACTTTAGATATGTCTTCCATCCAGATCAGCTGGAAATGCTATGTGAAGCATGACTACGGAAACATAACTAAGCATCTAGCTTATTATATAATCTTGCCTTTTTGAGCAAAGAGACTCACCTACAGGAGGTGTTTGATTAGGGAGAAGGTAAATAAACACTCCAACTACAGATTTCTATTGTAGAAGGTGCTTTATAATCTGGCACTAGAATTTCCAGGCATCTATCCAATTACTCACAAACAGGATACGGGTGGGATTAGCTTGTGCACTTGAATGGTCAGAACACAGGACGTCCCCAGTTGTAAAACCTAAACAACACGAGGGTTCTCTGCACTACTGCGGATCTATAAAGTTAGACTGACTCTATAATCAGAATATTGTAGTATTCTAGAATTTGGAGTGAAATTACTGACATAAAACTGTCTTTCAAGAAAAGCATTTCAGAAGACCAAACTGAACTTGAAGTCAATGAATATCCATAGGGAACTCCCCAAACTATCCTGTTTTTCCCAAGTATCTCTTAACTCAGAACATCTGACAACCTGAGTCACCCCGGGTGGGGGAGGGGTGGAGAGTCAGCTTTTCTCTTGGTCACTTGTTTTGTATTCACCTTGAATCTTCAAGCTGACAAGGAATAAAACATCTTCAAACTTTACAACTCTGTGGCATTTTACAAATTGCGAAGCACTTTAACCAGAACACCCTCAGAACAATACTGTAAGACTGATTGCTAGAGTTGGTATTATCACTTTTTAAGAAAAAGGCATATGAAGCTTGAAGAAATTAGGCAGACCATTCAAATTCACACAGAAAGTAATTAGGAAAGTAAGGATTAAAAATGTCTCTGGCGTTCTCTCCAAAGTACCATGGCACTCCAGGAATAAATGTTAAGTCTCTTGCTGGGTGCTTTCAATACATCATCACATTAAATTTTCACAAAACCTTTGGGCAGTTTATATGTATGCACATGCAATTCTGTTTGACACCTTTGACCAGTTTTTCCACGCTATGCTAAACATTTGTATTCCAGTTTCTCAACAGATGGGAAGATGTTCAGTTTTAGAAAAATACGCCCTTAAGTTCCACAAAAATACAAGCCACTTCACAATAATTTTTCAGACTTGGAAAAAAATAAAGCAAGGGAAAAATAAAGTCAAAAAGTAGTTTCAAACCGAACAGTTTAAAAACTTTAAAAATGGGGACAATTCAAAATTTGTGGGAGACTCTGATGCTACAGATCACAACTGAGGACAGTGGTCAAGTAAAGAGCTTAGGAAGTTTGTCTTGCTGAGAGATGGGGTTTATTTTGCATTTTTTTTTAGGTTAAAGATTTCTCAGACATATAGTGAAATATATACAGAGTAATTTTTAATGTTATTTCCCTAACCTTTGTTTTCTGTGAAGCTTGTCTTTTTCTGCTTCAGTTTCGCCAACCTCATTCTTTTTTAGAAACCTTAACCTCCTGGCTGGTTAGGGATAACTGAGCGATAACGCTAAAATGGATTTTAGTAATAAATCTTTAGTGTATTTTAGAATGCACCTGACAAAGTGCTCTGAATCTATGGTAACAGTGAAAAACCATTAGGTTAATTATTGGTTTACTCAAAATTTTAAAATACTTTCCTACATTTCCTTTTGTTCTTAAATAAAAATAATATCTAATCCAAATTCAATTAATTTAATGTTTTACTGGTCTTGATATTTAAAATTAATAAACGTTTGCTGAAATACTAAGTATACAACTTTTTTTTATATATATTGTGCTATCCCAAATGTCTCCAGAAGTACTAACATTTCCCCCAAAGTAACAACTGCTGAGTATCAACCTACTAAACGTTTTCAAATTTTCTGTAAGAAAGGGTTTTTTCCATTAAAAAAATAAAATCTTGTTTTCATTTGTCTATAGGAAAGCTTCAGATAGTAGGTCATTGCTCTGCTAAGAGACCAATCCTCTGTCTATATCGGATGTTTGATTAATAACCCATACTCAGGTTACAATTATTAAGCATAAAATGTTGATTCATTAAGTTGAAGAAAATATGAAACCTAAAATAAATCAATAAAATACTATGATTTGGTAAACCACTTTAAAGAGAAAAACCTATGGAATATATTACGCCAATAACCCACATGTCAAAAGAGAAATTCCTACCTTAGGAAAATAAAGTACATCTGAGCAGCATAAATGTTCTAACACTAGTTTAGCAAACCAGGAGCTGTCAAGTTCCAATAACCTATTATTCACACCTCTTTAATCACTGCCACAGAGTTGATTATAAATAGCCTCATACATTTTTAAATAAGGTCATTCTGAAGTGAAACAAAGAAGGTAGTAAATATTCTTGTACATAAGGAATTCAAATCCTAATGCACAACAGAACTGTGTATTTCTCAAATGCTCAATATAAAGAAAGCTAACACAATCTTTTATTAACTATGTCAAGTACGCACTCCATGTGGATTCAGTGGAATAACTAAATTGTAGCACTATTTAAACACAGTAGCCTAAAAAGAAACCCTCCCCAATAAATTTCATTCATTCATTAAGAGGCATTACTCATGGTATAATAAAAATAAAATATAATAATCAATTGGTTGATTTACCTGAAACAATGCCACGCAAAGTCATGATGAAAAGACCATTCTACAAGGAAAAATGTATAGTATCACTGATGATGCCACTGGCTATTAATTATCTCATTTAGCTGATAATCTGAATGTATTTCAACATAAATTTATGTAAACATGTTAGAAATGCAAAATGGTTTAACAAATTGGCAGAATATCTTTCTGAAAAAAATTAAAATTGAAAATAAGGGGATAAAGTACCATTTAGAAGGCAAAGATCTAAAATAATAAGCTAAAACAAACAATCACAGTAAAACAGGGACAACAAAACAGACAATAACAACAAAAAACAAAAGAAACAATTTGGTTTTGTGTAATAGGTCCTTTATAAATAACTGATCATTATAGAATCTTTAAGAAAAACCTAAATTATCCCCATAATTCCAGAGTGGTTTTCTACCATTATGGCACCTTCAAAGATTACCTGTTGAACTGAGAGTGAAAACTCCTCACTTAAGAACTAATAGCATCAAAAGACTGGGTCTGAAGAATATTTGATAACAAGTAACTACAATCAGATTTTAATTGACTATTTTAATATTTCCTATTAAGTTTTCTGACTAAAAATCCTACATAACCAACTTTTCCCCACTTTTCCATTTCTTCCTACCAGTGTGCCTGTTTAGAGATAATGAAAGATAAAACATTACATTTGGGGAAGAGATAAATGAGAAGTCTGTGACTCCTTAGTTTCTTAAAATCTGACCTTATGCGTTCACATTATATGGTAACACAACCTTGTGGGAGTATGTCTACTACATAAACCTTTGTTATTAGAATAATTTGAAAACAGAAAAAAAGTTGGAAAATCATGCATAATATTAACATGTTTTAAAATCTTTTAAAAAAATCACATGCATGTTCCAATTTTTGTTGAATCATTTATTACCTTCACCTGGTTTTAGAGCTATTAGCTTAAAAACATCATTTCTTGTACAATAAAAAGTTAGTCACCTTGTGGGCTCTGTTTTCCATCCACAAAAGATTCTTTTTATAGTCAGGTATCTTCTGATGAGGTAAGAACCAACAGAAAATGATGACTGGAGAAAACCATGAAACTAATTTCTGCCCATATTCCAGAAGAAGAGCTACATAAAGGTTTCTGAAATCAATGAAGCATTGTTATCCATATCACACTCTTAATTCTATACTCCTATGTTATAGTCATCAATATTTTATAGAATTCTCATATTAAAAAGACATTTCTAATATGGGAGTTATGTTCTTCCAAGGCCATATTTCTAGTGATGCTACTATATCATCTTTAATGCTGCTTTTCAACAGTGAAATATATAAGGACCTTCAGTGGAGATGACCATCGGAAGATACTATCTCTAAGCTCTCTGTTAAGTATGACCATAAAATTAGTCTCCTTAGTAGTCCAAATATTATATAACCTTAAAATTATTCAGCATCTACAGCCTTAAAAATGTAATGTACATTTCAAAATGGGATTTCTGAAGGTCTTCCTTGGTCCATACCCAAACCTAAGGATGCTGGAATGATAGCTCCTATTTTTCTATTTCGCAGGCTCAGTTTACTCAGATGTGAAGAATTATAATGAAGATCCTTGGCTATTTGCTATACCCTGTGCCAAGCACTTTCTTTTCCTTTACTTTCTGGAGTAACTTACAGGGCTTTAGGACAAAAAGACTTTGTCCCAGCCATAATATCTTTTTGGAAGTCTGGTCTTATGACTTTAAAACATGATGATTGGTGGTGGTGGTGGGGTGCTGGGAAGGCAAAGAACTCTAGGCCAGACCAAACTAGCTACAGATGGCCAATACTTCATATATATACCCATGGAGCAAAGTAAAAAGAGGCATATCAGGGTCAGTGTCTGTAGCTGAGGAAATCAGATCTGGTCACTTGAAGTCAAGTGGGTGAAAATACTATGATTTGGATGAGTGCAATGACTGATTCATTTCTTTATTTAAAACACTTATGAAGCATTGGTTGTGTCAGGCACTATAGTTAAGAAAATGAATATACTGCCGGGGCCCTTGGGTGGCTCAGTTGGTTAAGTGTCCAACTCGATCTCCTTTCAGGTCATGGTCTCAGGGTTGTGGGATCCAGCCCTGCACCAGGCTGTACGCTTAGCAGGGAGTCTGTTTGAGATTCTCTCTCCCTCTGCCCCTCCCCCTGCATGCTCTCTCCAAATAAATAAATAGATAAAATCTTAAAAAAAAAAAAAAAAGAAAATGAATATATCAATTTCTACCAGCAAGGATCTGACTAGTAGGGTGGACAAACATGTAAATAAGTAAGTTGTAATACATTATGATAGGTGTAATAGATATAAATCTGGAAGAGAACAGAGAAAAGGATTAACTTTCTCAAGGATGGACAATGGGGGGCAGGTTTCTAAAAGTGAAAGTGCTTTAGTAGGGAGATAATGTCTAAGCCTTTTTTCCTAAGCTTTTTTTTTTTTAAGATTTATTTATTTATTTGAGAGCGTGAGAGAGAGAGAGAGAGAGAGAGAGAGAGAGAGAGAGAGAGAAAGAGTGGGGTGGGGAGGGGGAGAGGGAGAGGGAGAATGAGAATCTCAAGCAGACTCCCTGCTAAGCACGGAGCCCAATGTGGAGCTCAATCTCATGACCCTGACATCATGACCTGAGCTGAAGTCAAGAATCAGGCACTCAACCGACTGAGCCATCCACGCTCCCCTCTAAGCTGGTTTTTAACAATAAACCAATCAGGTAAGAAAAGAGATGAAGGTCATTTCAGAAAGAGGAAAGGCACTGCTTCTTGCAAGTAAATTCCACCAAGCTATTCCTAAATTAAGAAGACTGCAGAAGACTGAAGACCTTAAGTTGTATGCAAGAGACTCAATTTTGCTAGAGGACAGAGGTGAAATTTAGGTGCGAATGCTACACTTAAATTTTAAGAATGTATTTGTTTTTATTTTTTTTATTAAATTTTTTTCCAGGGTGCCTAGCTGGCTCAGTCGGTAGAGCACGCAACTCTTGATCTTGCAGTCATGAGTTCAAGCCCCACAATGGGGGTTGAGTTTATTTAAAAAATTGTTTTTCAAATCTAACTCCCCACCCATCTCCCCTTTGGCAATCACCAGTGTGTTCTCTGTATTTAAGAGTCTGGTCTTTCATTTTTTTCTTTGTTCATTTGTTTTGATTCTTAAATTCCACACATGAGTAAAATCATACAGTATTTGTCTTTCTCTTACTGCATTTGGCATTATACCCTCTAGGTCTATCCATGTCGTTGCAGATGGCAAGATTTCACTTTTTTATGCCTGAGTAATATTCCACTGTGTGTGTGTGTGTGTGTGTGTGTATGTATATCATATCTTCTTTATCCATTCATCTATCAATGGACACTGGGTTGCTTCCATATCCTGGCTATTGTAAATAATGCTACAGTAAACATAGGGGTGTATATATCTTTTTCGATTAGTAGGTTTTTTTGTTTTGTTTTTTCTTTTGGTAAATACCCAGTAGTGGAATTACTGGATCATAAGGTAATTCTATTTTTAATTTTTGAGGAACCTCTATACAGTTCTCAGTGGCTAAACTAATTTGCATTTCTACTAACAGTGCACGAGAGTTCCTTTTTCTCCCCATCCTAAGTTATACTTGCTATTTCTTGTTTCTAATTTTAGCCATTCTAACAGGTATAAAGTGGTATCTCATTGTAGTTTGAATTTGTATTTCCCTGATGGTTAGTGATGTTGAGCATCTTTTCATGTGTCTGTTGGCCATCTGGATGTCTTCTTGGAAAAATGTCTATTCAGGTCCTCTGCCCATTTTTAAATTGGATTATTTGGCTTTTTTTGGTGTTGAGTTGTAGAAGTTGCACCTGGGTGGCTCAGTCGGTTAAGCATCTGCCTTCGGCTCAGGTCATGATCCCAGGGTCCTGGGATCGAGCCCCGCATCAGGCTCCCTGCTCCTCCCTCTGCCTGCTACTCCCCGATTGTACTCTCTGTCTGTCTGTTAATAAATAAAATCTTAAAAAAAAGTTCTTTATATATTTTGGATATTAGCTCCTCATTAAAATATACCATTTGCAAATATATTCATCCGTTAGGTTGCCTTTTTGTTTTGTTGATGATTTTCTTTTCTATGCAAAAGCTCTTTATTTTGGTGTAGTCTTAATAGTTCAATTTTGCTGTTGTTTCCCTTGCCGGAGGAGACATATCTAGAAAAATGTTTCTATGGCTGATGTCAAAGAATCGAATTGTTTTTAGCAATATACTTTGAAATCATGGGTGGGTGAATTAACACAATGTTGCCCAATTCATTCATATCTGGTCCCTCTCAATAAAAGCCATGACCTCACCTATATTCTTCTAAGGTACCTTGGCATAACAAGACGATACTCCCCCCCCATGCTATTGCAGCTACATCTTCTAGAATCAGCTGACACAACTGCCTATCCCCCGATCTGGTGAAGTCTTCCCAACCATCCTCAGGGTTTTCTTCACCATCCATGAACAACTTACCCTACCCTGAGTATCTGGAGCTGAACCAATAATACTCCCCTAAGCTAGTAATCTTTCCCTTTCTCCCCAAATGAATCTAAGAATGGCAGAATAATAGATTGCTTTTGTTTTATTCATTATCTGATCAGTCTGTGTTCTTCAGCAAGTGACTGGAAGAAAAAGAATCTTCTCTTAGATTTATTTTTAGTAGGAAATTGGTCCTCGGCCAGTGGAAAACAATAGATATAGGATCAAGAAACAGGTTGGATGGTTAATGGGATGTTCTGGGGAACCTCAACATTTACGAAATGGAGAGATAGAGTGGAAAAGAAACCATCAAAGACACGGAGAGACTAAGAAGAGCATGCCTTGTTGGAAGCCAAGAGATGTAGATTTTAAAAAGAGGCAAGTGAGACAGGCAGAATAATCCCGTCCTGAGTGTGGATGGGAGCTGTGAATCTGATGGGATACCACTCCCATTATAATGTTAGGTTATATGACAAATGTGAAGGGACTTTCCAGCTGTATTGCCAGTCTCTAATCAGTTGACTTTGTGTTTATCAAACAGATTATCCTGAGTGGCCTTGACTTAATCAGGCAAAAGCCTTAAAAGAGGCCTAAGGCCTCCCTGAGCTCAGAGACTCCAAATAGCAGAGAGAGTCTTCTGCTGTCCTTAAAGGAGCAAAGAGCCATGTTGTGAACTGCCTATGGTGAAGGGAAGCCTTCCTACAAGCATAAGGAAATGAATTCTGTCAATAATCTAAATGAGCTTGAAAGAGGACACTGAGCTACATTTGAGAATGCAGTATGACTGACACTTTGATTGCAGTTTTGAGCAGAGGACCCAGTTAAGCTATGTCTGGACCCCTGATCCACAGAAAATGTGAGATAATAAATATGTGTTGTTTAAGCCACTAAATTTGTTGTCATTTGTTATGCAGCAATAGAAGGGTAATCCATTAAAAGCAAGGTCCCAACTTTTGTAAGAGTAAAGGAGGATTGGGATTCAATCTTTAGGTTGTCAGGTCTCTGACATATGTGTTAGGATTTATGAGGGGCTGAATTTTCAGCAAAGATAAAGTAGAAACCCAGTAGTATAAATTAGAACCAGGGGAGGTAAGGAAAAGATACAGTTTAATTGATAAAAAAGGTCACATGGTTCATCTAGGACATTCCTGATGCTGAGGTTAGGATAAACCGACAAATTCCATGCCACATCATTTCACAGGGATTAGGTCAATATTGCTTGCTTTGCTTCAATCTGGTTAACCAGACTAGAAGTCACTTGATGGCAGATATAATGCCTATTTTATTCGCTGATTCTATGTCCTCAGCCCCCAGCCAGTATCTGGCATATTTTAAGCACTCAAGATTTGTTAAATGAATGAATGAATGAATGAATGAATGAATGAATGAATGAATGAATGAATTTCATACTGGTCAATGTGAAAAAGCAGATTAAAAATACGAAATTTTATGAGGAAACAGTATAAACTGGCACTACCCTCTGTAACTTCTTGAAAATATTCAAGTTAACTCTGTTAAAGTATGAATAATTTGAGATGTCACAACAGAGACAGTGATAGAGTCATAATCTAGCTAATCCACAAATATCTGATACCCTACTGTGTGCCAGATTCTAGAGTACGACTCCTGCAGTAGTT